CACCAGTCACAAGAGCACAAGGGATAAATTTTTCAGTAACTCTTAAGCTGCAGGGACAATACAACAGCAATGAAGGCATACAAACAGCATTAATAAAGCAGCGAGCTCATATATATGATGTCCATTGCACATATAAGGCAGTGCAACAGAAATTAAACTGCCACCTTAATAAAGAAGACAGAAAACAAGAATGGAGGGAGAGACTTCAAGAGTTACACAGGTATGAACACCTGACAAAGTGTATACAAGGCTGTACATGCAAAAACATAGGAGATGTAGATGATTACCTTTTACATTCAACCACAAGGACGTGGCCCAGAAGTTGCTTAGTGTAAAACCTGCAACAAACTGACCTCCTTCAGCAGATTCCAGCCCTGAGCCTGGCTCTGCACCCAAACGCTGGTTTGGGTGGGATGGGAAGGGCATTCCAGTGAAAAGCTCCCTGTTAGTACCTCAGCTTCTCACCAGCTCCAGAGCACACTGCCTGAAAGGACCACTCAGAGCAGCACCTGCAGCCTCTGAGTTGAAGTAATTCAATAAATCACAAGCTGAACACGAAAAGCAGTCATCAAGCAGTCATCAAGCCCCACTGCATGAGACAGTCTGAGGATGAGAAGAAGAGTGAGTTCAGGGAGACAAAATTAGCATAACAAATTGGAAAGAGAAGAGATTACATGGGAAGGGGCTGATAAAAATTAATCTCAGCAGTAAAAAAAGCAACTGAATATCAGTTGATTTATTCGTATGAAATAAACAGAGTTCTTTCCAATAAAAACAGGAATGGCTATTTCCAGCAGCAGAGGGGAGGTAAAACTGGAATGAAATTAATCAGTTAACTGCACGGAAAAAGATCTTAACAAGAAGAATTTGAATGTAAAAGTATTTTTCTCAGGCTGTGTTTCACATATGAAAAAGATTAGAAATTTCTCTGTATCATAATTTGTTCCTATAAATAAATTCACTCTGAAATAAATCTCTCCTGCCCATAGTTACAGACAGTTCTCTTTGCTACTCCAAAGAAACAAATTTTATAACATGTTTGTCCCTTGAGCCCTACAGAATACGACACAGGGATGTCAGAATTTGCTCATACAAGCACGGCTCCAAACCAAGCTGTTTCATGACACGCCAGACGTCAAGGGACAGCCAAAAAACAGCTTTATATAACAATGTATTTCATCAGAGGTGCTTGTCACAAAATGCTCCTGCCAGCTATTTGCTTGGGGAATCCTACCCCTAGGGACCAAATTCATCCAGCAAAATTGGCATACCCTCAGCAAATGGATGTAGAAAGCTGAGAAGTTGAAGTTAGTACCTTCAGAACATATTTACCTGGAATTACCCATCACAAAACAAAATTATTTGGACTGTCAGAAAAAAATGTGCCTCTGCAAACCACTGATTACATATATTATTATAAAACTCATGAATTCAATTTTTTGGGGTTTTTTTGTGCATTTTCTCCTGCTCTCAACTCCTCAAGAGGCATCAGTGTTCCCCCATAAGGGAAGATGCAGGGAGCACCTCTCATTCTTAAACTTCATTAAGGAAACATTCTCTCACAGTGGCAGAAAATGTGAAAAAGCTGCTTATTTTTGAAAAACAGATGAGATGGAGCTTTGGGAAAGAAATCCAAAGGGAAAAAAAGAAATCAGAAAGAGGTCCCTGTCCAAGAGCCATGGGGAGAGCTCCACATTGCCATGCCATGGCGAAAATGCTCCATCCATATCTTCAGGAATCTTAAGACAGAGGTAGTGATTGATTACAATGCTATATATTATTATTTATAATATTAAGTGTTAGCTATTTATACATTTTACACACACATATATAAATAGGCATCGAAACAACTTCACTATCACTGAGCAGATGCAGAAATCAAGTTCAGCTCAACACCAGACACCATAAAAGACAATCCAGGGTCTTGTGACTCTAATGACATCTGAAAATGATTTTATCACAGGACAGTGACAATGTCTGAATATTAACTCCACTTGGGAAAAAAAAAATAATTTAAAATCTAACAGTGAAGTAAATCTGCAGTTGGATTACAGCATTGGACAGACTCGATTATGGTAGCCCTACACATATGTCAATGGACATACCAGACTAGATTGAAAACAGAAGGGAAATAAATAAATTGAACCCCCCCAACACCAAATGAATCCAAACTCTTGTATCTGCAAACCACATGTGGTACAGAACGCACTGCCTTCCTCCACTTTCTCTTCCAGAAGTTTGTTTGGTTTCTAGTAACTCTGGTTTACTTTGAGGCAATTGACTCTCATGAAACATTTTGTTCTGTATACTCTTTGGGACAGAGAACATAGGTGGAATTCACAATTCAAATGCTAGACTTCAAATTCTGACTTTTAGATTTACCTTGGAGAAAAAAAAATTAAAGAAGCAAATCACAGAACAAGAATGTATTTACGTCCTCTTCCAGAGAATTTCACCTATGAACACCTACTCATATTTATGTCAAGAAATACTTACTTTGGTATATGCTGATTATATTACAGAATGTAAACCACTCTTTTCACGAATTAAAAGCCCTGAGACCTTTCAGATGTATCAGACAAGAAGGTTTGAACCAGCAGTTAATCATAAAGCATGTAACTTGATAAACCCTGGCTCACTTCAATGTAGCACACAAGCAGTATGCTCCAGACAAAACTTTATTCTACTGCAGGCCAAAAAACTTGCTAAATTAACACCACACTTGTAATTCTGTTTGTAGTCTGTTGCTATCAAAACAAGTAATGGGTAAATAAATCAGCAAATTAACTGGTATAAACTCTATGATCCTAACAGCTACAAAAGGAAATACCCACAAAGGACCCTGTCCCATTTCATTTCCCACTGAAACTCTCTGGCTAAAACACTGACTGCTCACTTCCTTGAAACTTTGTTCCAAGAATCTAATCCCACACTACATCTACTTTTTTTGGTTTTTAAACCCTTCCTTTCTAACCTAAATTTGTCCATATGGCAGAACTATTTTTCATAACGCCAGGCTGAGTTTGGCTCATCTCATTTCAAAAGATATCCAGAGGCAAAGCATCACAAGCCAGGCAGGCACAAAAAGCACCAGCAGATTTGCCACCCAGTGAATCAGAATTCCTTGTGAACCAACTTCCCTCTGCAACACAGTCCCACAAAATACCAAGTCCAAAATTAAGCAAGATCTCGTTCACTGGCCTGCATGAACTGATGCAAACACCAACTCCAAAAAGGGTCTGAAAAAAAAAATTCCTGCTAGACCAATAATTCATCTTCAACAACCACTTAGATGAAGTTAAATATTTTAACAAAAGTAGTGCTGTGATTTCATTAGATTGCCACAATTTCTAAAACTGTAATGTTATATACCTTTAATATATATCATAATTAAAACTGAATGGCAGAACAAAATCAGCCATAGTAGTTGCAATTTAGTCTTCCTTGATGCTTTGAATAAATGAAATATCTCTTTTGAACTAAAAAAGTTTATAGCTCTTCTGACACCCAAGGGTTTTGCAAAACCAAATTAATCCCTGCTTTTAAGAACAATTAACTTAAATAAAAACAAATGTCACCAGAGGATAATAATGCTGCTTTTTCATGGAAAGTGAAGTCATCCTATGAGATCCTAATTTTGAAAACCATTCTGTGGCAGGCCCCAAACTTCAGACGGTGTCTCAAATAACTGTAAAGAAGTTCCCTACAAAACTTGCTCTTGCTGCTCTGACAACTTTGTTTATGCTCCACACACTACAGCCACAACACTGACAGAAGCCAACATGAATTTAAACTATGCTGCAGAGCAAGACTAGAAAAATTCTCCATGATTTGAACAAAATTGAAGGAGTTTTTGTGCATTCCAGTGATTGCAGACATTCACACCTACACTCACCTTGAGGCCAGTGATACTGGATTAGTTAAATGCTACCTGCCAGACACCAAACTGCTGCAGCCAGGCTAGTGTCAGTAACTAATTTTTAACTAACTCAGGTAACTTCAGACTCTACCATAGGCAGTGAGCAGATGAAATATAGCTGGATATGATACAGATCTTAGACTTAAATGTCAGTATTTGTTAGTTCAATCCAGAATTCCTCATTTATATCATTGGAAAACTAAAGGACCCTGCTTCTAGGGAAGAAATTAAGATTCCGTGTTACTTGTGATTTAAACCCTCTAACTCCAGCAAAAAACCTAAATTTCTTCAGACAAGTTTGCTACACTAAAAGGAGACAAAGCTAACACCAGCTTTCTAATGCCATGATACAGCTGGAGCTGTCAAATTCTTCATATCACAATCCCACCTCCTCTGACCCTGCTCACTGACAGAGCAGGCACCACCAGCACTGATCCTCTGGGAGTCACACCACAGACAGTCCCATACCAGCTCTGCTGTTCATCTGTCCACATTACAAACCCAGCTGGCTTAGGTCTAAACCAAATGTTGATTTCAACCCACTGCCAACCACTGTTTTTCAATATGACCCAAACACTAAGACCTTAACACCCTGATAATGGAAGGGAGGATTTTTAGGTGCTTAACTGTAACCTGCCCCAACAAAGCTCACAAGTAGCAGTAAACTGTTGAAATAACAGCAAAAAGACTGCCATAAATAAAAGAATTATTTACACTGTACAGAGTAAAAAGACTTTCCAATCCTAGATTTCACTGAATTTTTGGAAGAGCTCAAAATTTGTTCTGAATTATTTGAGCCGTGATTCTTCTACCACTGTCTGCTCCACTGCACTGGAAATGCAATCCTCACAATCACTATATATTTAGTTTAGTGTATTATTGATCAGAAGTGGAGAATAACTACCTGTTTTTTATAGATGCATAGGTACATACATTACGGGCCAATATGCTATAAAATTAATATCACTGAGTGGGTGGAGCTGTTATCACAACTTAAGTGCTTTAAAACCTGGAGACAAAAAAAGTATAACTTTTATACAGTGATGTGCATTAAACATTGGCAAATACATTATGCTCTTACCAGGAATGGGCTCCAGCAAATGCAAGAAACACACATTATAGCCAAGAGCTGAATGATCATTTCAAAATGATGAGATCTGCCTTGTCTTTGTTGACTTTTAAATTTGACTCTTAAGAGGGTAATTCCTGTGACAGCATTGCACAGGAATGAAATAGCAAGGGCCAGGAACCCAAGGCAAGAAAAAAGTAAGAGATAAAATCTGTCTTCCCAGTCCTCAACATGTTCTGTTTTATAGAAGCACCAGGTCCTCGATGCTTGAATTTGGTAGGCTCTAAACCTAAGAATAGGCAGCAAAGCTATAAGAACAGCAAACAGACATACCATAGTCAACATCATTTTCACATGTCTAGAAGTCATTTTTGTAGAGTGAAATATTGGCTTAGTGACTCCAATGCACCGTTCAACAGCCATCACACTGCCCAGGAAGAGTGGGCACAAACCAAAGAAAACCATGCAGATGCCAAAAACACTGCACAGAATGTTGGACTGGTTAAACCGAATCCAGTCTTTATCTGAGGCATACACAAACACTGCAATGGCTCCATTGATGAGGTGACCGAAGAGATCTGTGACAACCAAACCACTGGCAAGAAGCAAAAAGGAGGCCTTTGATTTCTGTCTGAATCTCTGGTATGCCTTCATGAGAATTACTATTGCAAGACTGTTGGACAAAATTCCCACCGTCATGAAGATTATTGAGAAGAAAACTGAGATCTTTTTCTCCGTGTGGCACGTTGTGTTTTTCAAGACTCCAAATCCAGCCAGCCCTGGTGATTTTGAACTGTTCATGGTTAGGAAAGGAGATGCAGCCCTCAAAGCATTTCAGCAGTCTTGCAATCAAAAGGCATCTGCAATTATAAAAACAAATATACACAATGCTGTAAAAGGCATACCACTGTTCAAATGGCATTTGAAGCAGAAATTCCATATTAGTCTGCGGTACAAATCTAATTTTCCACTTTTCTGAGTGATATGATATGGCATCACATTTTAAGTTCATCACTCACATGGTAAAACAATTATCCGAACGCATTACACAATGCAAATACAGCCTACAGGAATTTTAGAGCTTCTGCATGCATAATACGTACAAAATAATGTATACAATATATCATGGTTATATACATATAGTAAGATAAACAATACAAACAATTCTGTTGGTTAAACTAAGCTAAACAAATGTTTTTGCAACAAACTCCAAGAATGACAGTATTTAACCAGCCCAACCACAGTCAAAAGTGAAATACTGAAACTGGAGCATTTTGAGATCATAATCACGCTCCATTTTTAAACATTTATTTTCAAAACAATGTCTTAGTGCCTCTAAACAATTCTACTCCCACAAATTCACGTTTCAAAGCTTTAACCTAAGCAGCACTGAAGCCTTCAAGTTCCCAGTGCCCTCGCTGAAGCACAAACTTCATTTCTAGACGCACCGTAATTCAGAAACCAATTCTGCAAGTTACTTTATGCTTTATCTCCCATCTCTACTCCAAGGACATTCCTAATACCAAAACCTCCCCAGGCAGGGGGAAAGAAGGGAAAAAAAAAAAAAAAAAAAAAAAAAGGAGAGGAAAAAAAAAGCGGGCCCGTCGTACAAACTGCCGCTGAAGCCCCTCCGTTCCTGAGCTACATCGGGAACGGGGCACGCCGGACCGTGGCAGCTCTGCCGCTCGGGAACGCTCAGCGGAGCGCGGCCGGCGAACTCCTCCGACGGAGCGGGGCACCGCACCCGCACCGCACCCGCACCGCGGGCAAACACCGGGGGCATGCACCGCGGGCACACAGCGGCAGGCACACACCGACGGCACACAGCGCGGGCACACACCGACTGCACACAGCGCGGGCACACACCGGCGGGCACACAGCGGCGGGCACACAGCGGCGGGCACACACCGATGGGCACACAGCGCGGGCACACAGCGGCGGGCACACAGCGGCGGGCACACAGCGGCGGGCACGCACCGACGGGCACGCACCGGCGGCAGCCCCGGTGCCGGAGCAGCGGCGCTCCCGCCCCCCGCCCCGTTCTCCCTTAAACGCTGCCGCCACGGGGGGCGGGGCGAGCCCGGCTGGCCGGGCACAAGTGCCACGGTGCCCGCCGGCCCGGGCCAGCCCCGCCGCGCCACCGCTCCTTCCCTACCCCGGTCTCGGTGTCCGTCCCGGCCCCGCCGCGGCTCACGTTCGCTTCGCCCCGCGGGGCCGGAGAAGCGCAGCGCGGAGCTCCGCCGGCCGCCACCGCTGCCGAGTCCCCCTCCCGCCGGCGCCGCCCGCGCCCGCCCTCCCTCCGCCTCCCCACCCGGCCTCCACACCCGGCCTCCCGGCCGCCTTCCCCGCCCGCCGCCCCCGGGACGCGCTCCGGCTCCGGCTCCGTGCCGGGGCCGCGGCGCTGCCCCTGTGTGCCCGCCGGGGCCGCGGTTCCGATGCCCGGGCACACGCACCTCCCTGCGGCCCGCGGTGTCCCCGGCGAGGAGAGCCGCGCTGCCGTGTCACCTCACAGCCAGGCAGGGCGAGTTCCTGCCCGCCAGGCTGCAGCCACAGCCGGAGCGACTCACGGGGCAGCCAAGAGGCCGCATCTGTCCCCAGGCACCGCTTCACCTCTTCTTCACTTTCCATACGCTGCTTTCCACTGCGCCCTTCAGCAGCACGCAGGCAGCTCGGGAAGGGGTAGCCCCAGGAATTCTGTCAGGGATGCGGCTGGGCACAGCCCCAGACACACGGCCCCTCGATCTCCCGGGTCCAGTAGAGCCAACCGTGCTCCTTGGACCATTTCTCTACGGGAGAAATTCCATGAGAACACATCCAGGAAAGGCATTAATGATAGGACCCATAGGCTGGAAATTCAAAGGTGGTTTCCCATCATGCACTCAAGCTGTTGCAACTTGAAGGTATAGATGACTTTCAAGTTCTTTCATCCATCAATGTCCAGTACTACCAAACAGGCCTGAATGGGAACTTTTAGTAACAACTCTTACTGTAGAAATAAACCAAAATATAAAATCAATGTCAAATTATGAAACAAAACTGTTAAATACTACAGAATTTATCATGGGCTACAGTGATGAAGAACTTAAATTTGTTTTAATTGACACACAGTCTTGAGTGGTACTGTTCCTGGCACCACAAGACTTAATTACTTAAAATTCTCAAAAATACTAGTTTTTGCTTACCTTCATATCTTGAATAGTACAGATGCAAGTTGTCTTTCTGTAATCCATCAGTGAGGAAATACAGGCTAGCTAAATCTATTCAAACAGTATTTAAAGTCACTTGCATAAAGAGTTAAGAGCACCACAGGATGACCTTCTTCTTCAAAATAACTGTCAGATTTTGGCATTTTAGCATAAAGTGGGCAAAAATGCTCAGTTTGGTCTGATTGGGACCTATAAATTCCCATAAATTCTTTTTTAAGACAGCAGTAAAACATAAAAATATCTCAAAATACATTATTACCTATTAAAGATCAGAGAAGGAGAGTTTATTTTATGTTCCCCCACCCAGGAAAAAGTGGAGATGGAGATCACAAACTACAAACAGCTTGCTCCATGCCTTTCCTAGCCAGATTTCTTCACCCAAAAATCCTGAAATGGGGGGGGGGCAATTTTGCTTGAAAAGAAGCAATGAAGTTGGTATTTCAAGACTGCAGCCTGGGTGGTAGAAGCTGAAACAGCATTATCAGGTAGATCAAGACAAAGGGAAGAACAGAAAAACCTCAAGACAGCTGTTTCAGTGTGCTTGTAAAATGTAGTAAGGGAAAGGAAAACTTGTAGAGTGCATCCTGAGTAATGCAGTAGCCTGCCAAAAGGAAGGGGAGCATTTCAGTTGCTGCAGAGATGGAGAAAAAAAGGCAAGAAATAGTGTTAGGAAAGTAAATACAAGCTTCCATCTTGCTTTTCAGACAAGAGGCATTGAAGAGTTCTCCTGCACCTGTGCAGCTGTAAGAGCACAAAGTGCCACATCCCAGTTGAGCAAGCAACTTGTTAAGCACTGGCATAAGCAGGACAGGTATGTCTGGTACTCAGCCCTGTACACATTTGTGTGCTCCTGATACAGGAATAACGTAAATAGTGACTTCTCTGGAATGGGATGGGTTTGTAGGATTATGGCTAAGTAAGATGGAGATTTCAGAAGGTGTTGGAGGGGTGAAAACTGGCAGTGACACCAGCAGAACTAGGTTTGTCATACTGACCCATGGTCAGCTCCTTTCATCTCCTATTACTAATGAAAATAGGAGTGACCCAAATTGTCCCACCACAGCCTCTGCTGTGGGTTGTGAATGGGCAGCCACTGCTTTCTAAGGGGCCAGCAGTCCTTTCACTAGCCTGTGGGAAAGGAGAGGAAGGATTAATGTCATTTTCAGCAGGGCAGTGGCTTTTCCTCTCAACCATTTGACAGTCAACCATTATGGAGCTGGGTTTGATTAAACTCCTTTTTATGTCTGAGAACAAAAGCTGTAGATGCAGGAGCCACAGTGGAGTGCTTCCTGACCCTTTCTCACTCCACCTATTCAAAGACTGCAGAACTGAGGTGGTGCCTTGGCTTAGCTCACTGACTTCAGCACTTCTGATTGTGTTGGGCTGCTTGTGTTTGTTCCAAAGCCCTCGACTCCTGGGTACTACAAGAATCAAGAAGATAAATACTGGTTTTGCCACAAGTTCCAACTTGAATGAAGGAACCAGAATTCCCTGCTCACATTCAATGAGTTTAAATCAAGAGGAGTAGTTTAACATATATAAAGAGAAAGAGATACAGAGACAAAAAGACATCTCTTGCTCTGTGACAATTGCAGTCCACCCACTGGTTACCAAAGAGTGGAAAGAAAATGTGACAAAATCTTCTGGATGGAGAACTTCTGGGTGTTGCTGGTTTGCAAATCAAGTGTACAGTAATCAAGTCCTCAAAGTCTCCTGCTACAAATCCAGACACCTACTCAAGTGTTGCACTGATTTTTCACTGAATACCAGCTTCAAAGAACCTTGCTGTAAATGAACAGGTAGGCATTTCAGTAGCAACAACAAAGTTGGTAGAATGCAAATAAAAACAATATCTCTTTATCCTTTTTCATCAACTCATAAATTTCTCATGCAGCCTTCAATGATAGTTACTATATACTTTTATTATATTCACAGTTCTGGCTGCAAAACATTGGAAACCTTTTCCTTTTTGTGCATAACAACAGTAAGTGTCATCTTTCCATTTAGTGAAATAGCAGTGATATAAAAGCCTTTAAATTTCACAGACAAAAGTAGTAAATCAAAATAACTATAGAAGGAAACTGAATTTAGGATCAGATTTGGGGCACCTCAGTCAAATACAGCTGTCAGTGAGAATCCTTCAGTTAAATGCCACCTTGTTCAGCCCAGAATTGTTTGAGACAAAAAAGACTTGTGAGGCCACAGACACTGGCAATGAGTCCTAGAGTACCCATCCCCACAGAGGGTTAGATTTATTGCCTTCCATTTCTCCAAAATCAGCAATCCTTCAGGACTTCCTTATCCTCTGGAATTAGTGCCCTGCCACCCCCAAAGAACAGCTTCTATCAAAGGTCCAGCTGTACATGATGAATGAGCTATTCAAATGAAAAAAGAGCTGATATCCAGCTGAAGGTACCAAAGGAGATTTAGACTAGGTGGGATTTACATCAGAAAGATTGGTACATATGCATAAAAATATATACATTCTAAGCATTATATGGCTGAGAAAAAAATCATGGAAATGATGAGTTTTGAAAAGTTAATAAGCAATGCTGAGAGGTTGGGCAGAGGCTTGCTCTGTTCTGAAGTTAGCAATAGTCAGACAGCAGAAACATTGAGATAAAAAATTATAGTCTTGGAAAATCTGAGTCACTTGTTAAGAACACCAGCATTACTAATTCTTCTTGGATTTTTAGTGGTGTTTTTTAGTATTCTCATTATGAAATGAGAAATTATTTCCATGTCTTTTTTAAGGTTGTTAACCTGATTTTACAGATTTTCAAAGAGATTTTAAATTGTATAGTAGTGAAGGACAATTTGCAATCTCATTTCATTAAGCAGTTAAGACTGATAAGGACTAATTTTGCTTGAGAAATTAATTATGCCTCCTGTCTAGAAAATGCAATCAGAAAATTAGGTCAGTAATGTGGAAGGTAATCATGTACATAGTAAAATGGCAGTAAGTGCACAATAAAGGATGTCACAAATTCCTAGACTTTTAAAGTCTCATATAAATTTAGCAAATAAGGCTTCCTTAAAAGTGTTAAGTGACTGTAGAGTATCCTCAACATCCTGGCTTGATAGTGTTAAGACAAAACAGTAATTTTCTGCCCAAGCTAGGAAATGGATTTTGTAAGAACACATGCACAGTCATGTTGGTGTGCAGTTAGACCATGTCGGTATCTGAAACAAGAAATGAAGGACAGAATATGTCTCCTTAAAGATGTGTCTCAGGATCCTGGCTTTGCTTGATTCTTGAGGAGGGTGGATAAAATACTTGCTGCACCCTGTCATATTCAAAATATGCATTTTAAAATGTGTTAAGGCAATTCACCAAGTTAAAAGAAGTGTGGTTCAGCAGAATGCAGCTGACAACTCACCCATGGCTTTGTCATTCTGGTAACCACCACTCTGACCTTCATAGCTCACCATGAAGCAGTAAAATAGTCACAAATTGTGGCTTAAGTACTGCCTGAATTGGGACACAGCCAAGGCAGCTAAAGGAGGAAATTCCTAGGTAGTTAATATAAATTAAATGGTGTTTTGCAACAAGACCCAGATCACTTCAGGAGGTTAAAGCCACCAACATGCCAGTAAGCATTCACTATCAAAGCAAAATAAAACCAAGGGAGGTCATCAGGAATCATAACAACAAACATGCATCTTTCTACTGAGATTTCCACCTGCTGATATCTGAACAGGGACTGTTTGCTCTTACTGGAAGTACAGCTGTAAATAATGGTGTTTTATTTCTAAATATCCCTTTCAGCAAGGAAGTTAAATTCTTTGCTTCTTGATAATGAGACACAGCTCCTGGCAAATGAGGTAAGAGTTGCTGTAGACAGAACAAAGAGGAAATATTCTCAATTTCCCTGGTAAGGTTTGGAGGTGGGAGAGGGGACACAAAGATTTGCTACAATTTGTGACATACATATTTGCATTATAGTTCTTTTCACTAGAAAGAGCAAAGATAGATTTTCTTTTTTAATGTGATGTCACAAGAAGGGTCCAAGAAGTCCATTGAGAGGCAATCCTTTAACCAAGGAATTGAC